GAGAGATTTTAAGTTTAATTAATACTAAACATTTCAAAACGTTCTGGATACAGCCAGGACTGGATTCACCCAGCAAACAAAGGTGGTCGACAGTCGAACTGACTTTTCTTTCTTTTGGAATAGAGTGAAACATGAAAACTGAACAGAAGTCAAAGTTAAATGAATTAACAGGAATAACTGGCACGACAACAGGAGGTAGGATGGGGTGGGAATGTGTGGGTTGGCAGGTTTGACTTTAACAGCAGGGGAGTGTGGTGGTGGGGGTGTTAGGAGGATAATCAGGAGTAACTTCCCATTCAGAGCAGACAAACAAGGGGAAACATTCGTAAACTTTTTTGTTTTTTAATGAATTCACAACCACAATTTAACTGAGGTCTGATTTTCCGGGACAAAACCATAAAAAGCTTCATGTTGTGCTCGCGTTGCCACAGGTTAATGTTAATTAACGATAAATGTTGTTACTAAATGTTTTACAAAAACAATGTTACCACTTAACACTCTCCACTCAAATATTAAAATGTAATGTATTTGACCATAGCTTGACAATTTTTTCTTATTTAATCTTTATTAGTCTATAACATAATCTTTGTCACAGCCTTGGCTAAATAGCCCTGTGAAGTGTCAATCATTTCCCTGCTTCATATATAACAGAATTGTGCTCTTCCATAGGTAATGTTAGATTGGCTGTGAAATTGCAACATCAGAGCCTTTCAACAAACAGCTGAAGACAAACAGGGAGCAGGGTGGGTGGTGGCAGCACACCTTAAGTTTCAAATGTGAACCTCGCAACAATGGACACCCTCAGGCATCCTGTGCAGGTGTGACCTGGATTTGATAAAACCCTTAACTTCTTACCCAGTGCAAATAAAGTCAGAGCTGCCCAGGTGCAGCTTTTGTTTGTGTCTAACTTTTGGCAGTGCAGCAGCTTTCGCAACAGAGTCTGGGAACCAATAGCACAACAAAGGCAAGGCACTGAAAGCCTTATAGGTTCATTGGATCAGACGGCTAGCAAAGGGCTCCTTCTGCTGACTACAACCTGAACACTTATGAAGCAACTAAATTTAAAAAATACATTAAAGTCAACACTGTGAATACTAAATAGGTCACGCTCCTGGAGGGGTGCAGTGACACAGCACACAAAGGAAAGATGAGTTCTTTTCATCAACAGTCATGTCTGCTATCAATCTTTTTTAACACCATTGTTAGGGCAAGGACAGAGGAGACAGAATAACCCAACATGTGAATTAATTGACAGGTGTAATTTCAATCTTAAAAGTTGAAAGGCTGAGTGTGACAATAAAAGAAAGACAAAGGAGTGACCCCATTGACAAATCAGACAAGAGATGACAATGAATGTGTCATGCATCTAAAGGAAAAGCTATTACTCTGCTTTCTTGTCCATTGTGTGGTTTTTCTCCTCACAGCCTTTCAGTGATGAAATCCTTTATGAGAAATTTGGTAGGTGAAACTTGAGACACCAGATGGATTTACAAGAAAAACCATAAAAACTTCCACATTGCATCATACAGATAAGGTCATTTGATCATTTAATTTCAATTCAATTCAAATGTGATAGTTTTTAAGCAACAAACTTAACCCTGTGGATTTGACCAAGAAGAAAGGCTGGGAGTGTTTGAGTGTGTCTGTGTTTAATTGTGGGTCTTTTAAAGCATGCACCACACTTAAAATTAAATGCTTCAAATAATAATAATGTGCAAACACAAAGAAAAAAGAAAGGAAAAAGTAAAAACACATGTTGGACGAGAACTGCTTTGCATTAGAGCACAGTAAGAAAATGAAGACACGAGGACCTGGAATGCATTGGAGGGACTGATCTTCAGGTTTGAGGTGCGTAGCAGGTAGGAAGCTTAAATCTAGTCCTTCCAAAAGCTAACTTTAAACAGTGTGAGAGACATTTTATGATGCCGGGTGGTCTTACTATCGAACCTTATCGAAGACAAACAGGTGTAGTTTTACACTTTCACTGAAGGGACTTTAGGTGTAACTGAGAGAAGAGGAAAGAAATTTAAACTGAGCCCAAATTTTTCATGCAGCATGACTGTATTTGTGTCTTTTCGGGGGGGTTTGCACATGTTAGTATGGAAATACAGCATGTGTGGTATTTATGAATAACACTGGGATCAGCGCTCACTAACAGATTACAGCGAATGTATTATAAACAATACATATGGTACAATACCAGTCTGAAGCTATGTATGGAACTGGCCTCAACATATGTTTTACTCTGTGTCGACACATGTGCAAATGTTGTCTCTGGAACACATCTGTGTAATGTAAATATACCAATGAGGTCAAGCTTCGTCAAACTGCATTAAGATTACCTGTTACATAAACAGTTTCAAAGAGGAGGAGTATTAAGCGCACCAATGTGGGTTCAATTTTAAGCAGAAAAGAGCTGAAAGGAAAATAAACATCTTCCCAATCCAATTTTTCAGCAAAGGGAACTCTTAAAAGGTGAAAAATAAGAAGAGGTGGGAAAATATGTCAGCAAAACAGAGGTAGGGATGTAAACTGTAACGGTTTGCTTGTTTTTATTGTGACTCTGTTTTCTGCATGCAGGAAGAAATAATACATTTTCACTGGATGTTTCTGTGAAAGAAAAAAGTTGGCTTAAGTTATTAAGGGATAAAAGAAAGGGGAGTGGGGGCTTTTACATGGTAGGGTTTACTCTGTTAACAACCAGCAGGGAAGCTTTTGGTGTTACTACTCCTACTCCCCTCCATGCACTTCATGTGATCTCATAATTGCAAAGCCCACAGGGGCAGGTAAATGGAGGTCAAACAAAACTCCTTTTTGTTACTCCAGCATCTTGGAAGTGAATCGTTTGAAGTCTATCAACACTAACACTCCCTGCAGAACAATGCAGTGTACATGCCCTCAAATGGTCCACATTCCTTTCATCATATAAGTAAAGACTGAGAATTATGTTAAAAGTAACTGTTTGCAATGAAAATAGTCAGCTTCATGGTCACGAGCTGAAATCTTTCCCTAGTGCATCTAGGTTTAATTAAGCATACAGGTTTTGCCTGTGATCCAAAAACATCTCACTCAACAGCTACGTCTGAGACTGGACAGATGGGTAAGTAAAACCCAGAAATAAGCAAGTCCTGCCACTTAGAAACCATCTTGGTAACACAGTAACACTTCCAGATAGTTATTTGGGCAGTTATTTTGAAGGCTCAGTCAAAATAATGCATCCAAAGAACAGTTATGTATTAGGATATGAAAGAATATACTGAGAGGAGAAAAACAAATGCAAGAAACCAATGAAGTTCGGTATAAAAAATTAAAACTGGGTTTTTGAACACAGTTTAGTGAACTTTTTTTTTTTTAAACAGAAACACCAGAGACTATAGAAATAAAATATCTATATATATATAATTAGAACCAGACTCTCTAAGCAGGACAATTGCAAAAATGTGATAATGGGATTTGAAATTTATAAACAAAAAACAATTCAGGTAGTTTCAATTCAATAACGGCATCGCAACCTACCAAGAGCAGCACAAATCAGTGGATCGAAAAGTAGGAAACCTTTTAAGGGAGGGAGCAAGTATTGTACTAATCAAAATAACTCTTTGTAAGCTCAGGGTTTACAGATATGTTTCAGTCTGTACACAGCACAGCAATTCAGACTGAATAGAGGCAGCTATAGAAGAATGCATTTTTGATATAAGGGGAAATTCACAAAATATTATTAACAACCTTGACAGCACTGTTTAATCAGAAGACGAGCATTACTGCCCATATGGAAAAGATCTATATAAATCTTATAAAGTTTGTATCTGTCTTGTGTGAAACTTGTATGAAAAGCATATAAGAGTGAAAACAGATATAAGATCCCTTGAAAAATTATATAATGAAACTTGTATGTTTTGGATACTTACTAAAACAATGTATGAAAGTAATGAGGAAGTGGCCACTTTCATGAGTAATCACATATAAGTTTTTACTATTTCTTTTCCATATGGGTGAGGACCAGAAATATGTGGGGCTCAGCTCTAAACATTCACGCTGAATACAAAGTCACAGCGCTGAACCATCCATGGCTACATTAGGCCTAAATAGGAAGTGCTTGTTTCTGAATTACATTCAGTACAATTTAAATACTTTCCTTCCCACATTTTGCACTGTGAAAGAGAAACATTTAGCAACTTAATCTCTTCAACCACGATTCCCCAGAAAAGATGTGTGAAAAAGATGCAGACGCCATGAGACAACCTTTCATATGAATTCCAAAAATCCAACTCAAACTACCCCTAACCCTATGTGAGTCACCCAAAGACCTGCTGGATTGACGTTAGAAGTACACGATCACAATAAAGTTAACAAAGTGCTTCCCAACTTGAGAAATTTGACCTTCGGCACAAAACAAGAATGCAGTTTTATGACTCTTCAACTGAAGGCCTTCATTTCCATCGCATTTGACTAACAATACATCTGGGCCTTAAACTCGGTGTGATTAGTACACATAAAGTAACAATCTCGGGATAATCTTTACAGGTGAAAGGTTCTCCAAGGTCCACTTTAGTCCAAGACTAAATTTACTGGTTATCTGCAAAAGGACATTAAAACAGCAGGTCTGGGTAGGGCTTCGCTCACTTCACTAGCAAGACTAATCATTCCATTTTATTGTGCAATGCCAGATGAAATACTGAGCTGAGCGTGTTCCCCTAAAAGTTTATATAACTTCAAGTCGGCACCACAGCCCCACAGGTGAGGCCCCCTTAGAAACTATCTTAGTGGTTCAACCCAAAAAGCAAACTTGGGACCAGGTAGTTTGAGTTTTTGTAAACAAAGTTTTATGGATCAGAAACGGGTAGGCAGCCGGGTCTCATGGTATTTGGGAAGGAACTGGGGAGGGCATTTCCACTCAACTTGACACAGTATGGATTTTGTTCCCATCCTAATGGAATTGCAGAAATATTTGAGGGGAATCCCATTACGTAGCAATTGGAGTGCTGTAATAATGTACTCACAGTCATTTTCCCACTGCGGTTGGCCTCCTCTCGCTCTGCCAGGGCTTTCAGGAAGTTATCTTTGAGTTCTTTTCCTGCACTTGCCAGTGTCCTGGAAAAGACAACACTCAAACGGTTTGAAATGTTTCTCTTAACCTGAAAAAAAGTCACATGAAGCCTTAAAGGTTCTTAATGGAAGCTTTTCACCTTCACCTTCGTGTTGCTACAGGGCAGTCTGACCCCCTTCTGCTCTAACATGAGCAAATAATCAAACATTATAAAGAAAAAGTGAATTAAAAATTGGCCATTGATTTGTTTTTTATCTCCTTTGACACTGTAGAAGAGAGATATTTCCGCTCTCTGTCTGCATGACTTTCCTTTCAATTTGCAAGTATAATCCCGCAGACTCAAGCCAGCATCTAGTATGTCATCCACAGCACTTCACCAAAGCTTATCTAGCTCTGAGAACGCTTCCACATATAAATTCTTAACAGAAGGTATCAAATTAAGTTGTTAATAAGTAGGGGTTTTTATTCTAAAATACATCTTAAATGTACAAAAATCAGCAGAACGTTCCAGCAAGATGCTATTAATCATATCTGAGTTCAATGACTTTTTACTTTTTACACTTAGGCCAGCCTGTTTCCATGGAGACTTGTTTCTGGCGCACACAAACGTATCCACACCTGAAAAAACACTGGCACTAATATTTGAACAGTTAACACTGCAGTATGAGCAGCAGAACTTTGGCACGCATCCAGAAGCGACTGTGCAAAACATTCATCAGACCCACACCAAGTTAACATCTTAAAGGCAGTAAACAGGCCATTGGTGACTTCTCAGTTGTGGTAAAACATGAAGAAAGAAAGAATGTAAATTTAAAAAAAAAAAAGAAGAAGAAGCAGAACAGCCTTTAAATAAGCTACAATAAAGTAGAACGTGCAACTCCGGTGTTACTTCAGCTTTCTGGAACAGTGATGAACACAAACAAAATCTGAAATTCTCGACAGATTTCCCATGAGTGCATTATGCCCAATTTTTCAAGTAGTGTTGAGTTAAGTATTTCACTTATAACGTGGAACTGAACTATGAAGATTTTTAATATTTTTTCACCTAAATTCAACTTTATATTTATGCAGTTTCATCTTCATTTGTAATGATATCATCAAAGCCCATTTCCCAACAGTGCATTGTGGGACAAATTGATCCATTAAAAATGGTCGTTAATCAACTCAGAAAATATTTAGTTAAACAGACCAAACAAACTGTTCTTTCTTCTTTAGTTAGTTAAACAGACCAAAGTAAGCTTTTTTGCCATTATTTTTTAGTTATTTTTTTTTTTTTTGCAAGGAGTGAAAGTATTTGGACGAGATGGCGACGCGCTAACGCCATACGGATTGGTTAGCAAATCTGAATTTATAAATGGAATGGGTTGAATGCACAGACGCACATGCTAACCATTGCTAAGTAACTCACTAATAAAATGGCAGAATTTCACTCACTTGGAGTGAGCAGAACTTCTTGGATGGTCTGTACCATGTAGCTATATGTATTTTTGTGGGTTTGATTTTATTAGTTCCACTGAGACTTAATGTCTCATTTACAAGAGAGACCTAGGCAAACATATTAGGATTACAACAATAAAAGAAACATTTGTTTCCGTGTTCTGCTACTGGAAACTGAATTTCCCGGAGGAATCTACCCGAGCGATTAATAAGGTTCTATCTATCTATTAAAATAACTAAAAATAATACCTGGGTGTTATTTTCAATTCTTTAATATTAGTGCTTATATGGGTGTCAAGTTTTAGATCCAACAGAAAATTCTTACTAATCTGCACCGAACCACCTCTTGACATGGGCTCATCAATCAATTTGGAACTTTTAACCAAGACTGGATATTTAGAAAATACTTCCAGTCAACAGTTACTCAGTGTCAAAATGTTTTCTGGGCACTTGTGCGCTATATTTTATCTGTGATGTGAGCTGGTCTTCATTTTGCCGAAGCAGCACCTTTAACTTGATTTGGATCTTGGGAAAGCAGACAAAGGCACATCTCATTCTGCTGGTTATCTGTGCTGGTGTGGCCGAAAAACGTGCTATGAGCACGGAGAGAATTACCTGGTTGTGAGGAATAGATTTCAAACCACAGCGTCAGCATGAAATTTGGGACAAAAGGCAGATGTTTGCCTTCTGTGTGAATAAAAATTGCTAAAAAACCTCAAAGGGGACACTCACCAAATTTAAATTAGGTATAATTTTTACTTTTGTAGGAGGAGTCACTGAATCTTTCTCAATTAAGGATCTGACTGAATATGCAGTCAATTCTTTTAGTAGGTATATTTGACACATAACAGAACCAAACAGTGTACTGAGGTTCAGTACTTGGATCTTTACAGGCAATGTGAAAGGAAGTAATGATCCCAAACGTTCCTGCAGACACCTGTGAGTTGGTAATAAATCTGTTTCTTCCATCTTGAATCCAGTTCTGTCTGCTTCACTGTCCAAAGAGCAGACAGGTTCAGTTATATTCTACATTAATGGCTCCTCAAATTCACTTTCCATTCCCAAAGCACTTTAAGAAAGCCTTAACATCCACAACAAGCACAGACAAACAGGCAGTTTCTGCTCTTAGATTAACTTGACATTACAGTAAAACAGAACAGAATCTAAATGTTTAACTTTACTAGAATTTGGACCAAGATTGTAATTTATACTAGTCATTTGGCCAGTACCCCATAATGAAAGTCTTAGAGGAATCACACAGTGGTAAAAGTGCATGGACAGCACATACTTGGAGGCTAGAAGCTCACTTCATCTTCTGAGTGAGTGAAGGATTGCTGCTGGGTCATGGGGACTGAGGCCCCAAAGTAAACACAGGTGTTGCGGAGGCAAGTGACTGGGGTTACCCCATCCAGTAGCTAAAGCAACACACACAGTCACGGAGACTTCAGTAAGTAAGACTTCAGTAAAGCATATGGACCGGACCGCTGAGATTTTGAGTTTCCTGTCAATTAACAAATTTCTTATCAAGCCTCATTTAGGAATAACAAGAATTTCACTATTAAAAGATGCTGATTAGTGGCTAATGACTAGGCATTACTCTCACAGTGATCCACCCATGTGCCCCCAGTGTCTTGTTTTTGGATTGTGGTCATGCAGGTGGTCCATGGAATTCAAAGAAAAGAAATGAGGGAGTAGGTGAGCAGTTATTATCTGGCTTTGTGAAAAAAATAAATCTGTCTAAGAGCATTTGTACGGCAGATATGAAATTACTTTTGCAAAGAATATGTGTTGGTGTGCCAGTTCAAAGGGGGAAAGGCTAGAAAACATCATAAATCTAATTTTGGACGCTATGCAAGTGTCAGCGTATCTGCGTCTTTAACACTTGGACAGTTTTTCCTGAGTTGGGATTTCAAAATCTTTTAAGACCTTGCTCGCCAAAACGAAAACACTACTTTGCTTGTACAAATTTTCCTAACAAGAACTCTTATTATTAAAAAGACACCGATTAAACGGGGCTGGATTAAAACACTGCAGGGGGCTGGGTTAGTGGTGGTGCGGTTTAAGGTACCAGTGAGACAACGAAATATGATCCAGGAAGTCCAGTTGAAGTAGTGGCCTTAGCGGCGTTAAAAGGCTTATCGGATGCCAAACACTGCACAGCAGTGTGTAATGCCCACAGCCGGGACTTTACAACTTTGACCATTTTACAGTTGTAACTTTATCTCTTGTTAGGAAAACAGCTCAAGCCATCTACCAATTCTATGCACTTAATATTATTATATATACCTGAATGAATTTAACTGTGCACAAGTCTTTTAGATGGCATTGCAGTTTTGTTTTATTCTTTATTTTTGTAACCTGGCACGGCTGGTGTAGCTGGCTTGATGACACAAGTGTGCAGTCACGTTGATCTTTACCACCATTCCAATGACATGTCTGTGCAAGAGCTCACTGCTAGCGTTCTTTCTTTGTGTTTTTTTTAATGAGCCTTTTGCATCAAAGATTGATAAACATTTTTTGAAGTTCATTTAGTTGTGGTTCTGACACTGAAATGCTAGTTTGTAAGTCCATTTAAATAAGTGAGAAAGTAGCTAAAACAGTATGCAGTAGAAAATGCATATGTGGGCAAAAATGTTTTGTTTTTTTTTAAATAGCTAGCAATCCTAAAGCATAAAACAGAAAGAAAAACACATCCAGAGCGAATATCGTGCAACACTACCTACTGACAGCATCTCATAACAACCACACCCTCCAGATGTTGCATTGCAATGTTCAGTAAAAGCAACGACAACACCTGCCATGAAGTTAACAGGGTTTCCTGTTAACTTGACTGCAACTCAATAAATTATGAAATACATGAAAATATGACACAATTAGAAACTCAACAAAAACTCCTGGTCGCTGTGTTACAAACTGGAGTTTATGTAATGTTTAGTTCACCTCTGCTGGGGGTGAACAGCTGTTACTGCATAACCAATATCTTCCAAGTGTGTTTATATATGTGTAAACACACCACTGCACTGCATACCAAAACCCAGACGGCTTCTTCCTGAGCTGCAAGGTTCTTAAACTGTTGTTTTTACACTATTTATTCTCATTAGTATACACTGACTAATCTTATTGGATGCACTGGAGAATTCATGTTTTCATATTTCTAATATCTTTTTGGAAAGAGCATTTGATTATGTATACTGTTTGATTGTACAAAAACAAATCTGACAGTCCATGTTGTTTGTTAAAACAACAGAAAACAGTCGGATCTTATTCTGTCATCCCGTAATTCTGTATTTTCTGGAGCTTTGTCAGCTGCATTACAATTATAGATTCTTATATATAATTTCTCATACAGCTTGGCCTTAGCAAACAAACAGCACCTGGAACCCAAAAACTGGAAAATACACACATACGTAAATCAGCAATGTTCTTATAGTGTGAGTGTGAATGTGAGAGAAAGAGAGAGAGAGTGTGAGTCTATGTATGTCTTTGTCACAAATGTACTTGATAAGGGTGGGAGCCTGCCCCCAAACCCAAGGCCAGAGGCAGACAGAGATGGAAACAGGACAACCACGCCAACCACAGCCCCCAGGAGTACCAAAGACCTGAGACC